TAAGAGTATTTAATTTATTCAGAGCAATCATATAAACCATTAGGCTACAATGAAGAATCGATGGATGAACAATAACAACAACAGCAGCTCTTTATTCAAAAGTTGCGAACTGCTCACACAGAGGGTTGGGGCAGATAGATAGATAGATGGATGGATGGATGGATGGATGGATGGTAGACTGATGAATACGAATGGATGAATAGATGGCATGGACAAATGGATGGACAGATAGCGCCAACATGAGGCTTACGAGAAGTACACTAAAATAATGACTACATATAAAAAATATGAGACTCTTTTCATAGTGAGAGCTTTTTAATTCATTGTAATTGTCGTTGGTATCATCAACATTTTTATCATAATATTATCCATTCCTCCCAAAACATCCCAGCCCAAGAGAGGAACAGTAATGAACAAAAGCATACAAAGTGTAGAGATTAAAAATAGTCACCTTTCATTAACAACACTGAGATGAGTTCATCAATAAAAACCTTAATAATATCATACATTCATCCACTAAATATCAGTTGCATTCAGACTGAATAAAAAACATTCAGAGACAGAATCAACGTAAAGAATTACGAAAAATGTATCATCAGCCAGCTGTTCACATGTACTAAGCCCAAAATTTTGATTTTTTTTTTTCACCAGTTTCTTAATCTGTGGTATCAGTTGCATGTGCTACAGAAATATCATGTCAAAATTCAAATTCTAAATATTGATTTAAAAAAGCAAGAGAAGCACATAATTTGGAGACAGTTTTTAAAAATGTTTTACATGGACGAAACAGGTTTTTCTGTCCTGGAAACTTTTACTTTCTGGCCTTAGAACAGTTGAACAGCTGCTTGATGACGATATAAAGACCAGAAAGAGAAAGTGATCAAAGTCACATTTAAATCGAATTAAAAAACCCACTGCAGTTTGATTGTGCTTCTATTTCACTCTCTTTTAAAAACTTCAACTCAGGACAGTACATGTTGTTGGATCAGACAGTTTTTGAGAGCACAGTAATAAGTAATACCAAAGATAGTACATAACAAGATGGGCCACTCAGCCAAAATAATGCCCGCCGGAAGTTCGCTCTTTGCTTCAGATGGCGCTGCAGTCTGTTTTGAAGCTCTCTTTCGTTTTTCCAGAAAAAGAATAGGAATAGCACCTCCTTGCGTGAGCAGATCGACTGCTGTTCATCAGCAGTTCGGGTTCGTTCAGTGTGGGGTTTTAGTTGGTTTTTATTTTAATGACCTCTAGCCTTTCATTCTAAAGTCAAATTAAACGAAGAAAGCAATCACCCTTTTCTCCGGAAGGTTTTTTTTGTCAGCGTAACCATTTTAAAAAAGCGTTCTTCCGAAATTCATTCAAAAACTTGCTAGTTTCACTTTAATTTTTTTAACTCAAGTAGGATAACTCTGTTCGCAAAGGGTGCGCTTTTGCAAAGAAGGCGCCACCAAATTTTGAGGACACTTTTTTAATTGGCTCAAAGAGAGAAGTGGCCCCTCTTGTTATGTAGACTCTTTGGTAATACACAATGCTAAAGGAACTAATTTAATAATTTCGAGTTGGTGACTTTGGCCTTTTCCTTTATGGTTTTTTGGTCGATCCACACCTTTCCTTTGTCTCATCTCAATCATCCTTAGTAAATAATTGCAAAAAAGAACACAAGTGTTTTAATAAACAACAGCCTGTTTCAGTGACAAAATTGTCCGCAATTTAAGATTTGTGTTACATCACCTATCAAAAACGGAAGAATTGGATAGCTTGTCTGAAACTAGAAATACAATTTACAGAGTGGTCATGAATTAACTTGTCTTTGCATAAAGGGGAAACAATCCACCCATAGAGGGGGACAATGTGTTATCCCCCTTTTCATATAAGCTTGATTTATTAATAGGTCGCTTTTAAGGACAAGCGGGCTAACCCTGATTTCGGTGGTTTCCAGAAATCTTGACCTACACCAAAAGGGGGAATTGCCCTACCTATAGGAGAAGTTTAGTTTCATTGGGGTGTATATTTATTTGGTAATTAAAAAACTCTCCTTGTATTTTAAAGAAACTGAACAAGGGGCAACATCTTTACCTTCGACTTTCTCACAACAGCATTTTTCGGGATAGCCCCCTTGTGCTTCAAAGCGACCAATTAGACCACAGGCTGCTTCCGCCCTGCCTGTCAGGAGAAACTGGAGTTGTATATTGTGTTGTTATATCCCAGCAGTAGGAGTAGGTGTAGGCTATAAACAGTGGTTCTTAACCTGGGTGTGGTCAAACTCAGGCCAGGGGTTCGGTGAGTCCATCTAGGGAGTTTGTCCGAGGTCATAGAGTGAGTGTGTGTGTGTGAGTGGTTGCGGAATGTGTGTTTGTGTGTGTGTGTGTGTGTGTGTGTGTTGAAGAGAGAGAGAGAGAGAGAGAGAGAGAGAGAGAGAGAGAGAGAGAGAGAGAGAGAGTGTGTGTGTGTGTGTGTGTGTGTGTGTGTGTGTGTGTGTGTGTGTGTGTGTGTGTGTGTGTGTGTGTGTGTGTGTTTGCATCTGTCTGTTCCATTCATCCCACTCCAAGGGTTGAAGGGTTCGGTGAATGCATGTATGAAACTTACGAGGTTCAGTACTTCCACCAAGGTTAAGAACCACTGCTCTAAAAAAAATCTCTCTCTCAAATTACAGAAAACAAAAATTTTGACAAACTCGATAAAATATCTTTCCCAAGTGAGAATCAAATACATCATGTTCTTTGCACGCAAACCATAGCCACATAGATGCTTGTACTAAGGCAATTAGGGTGTCATAAGGGCATTATCTCCAGCACTCTTCCTAAAAAGAGGTCAACCTATTTATAATTTATACATTTTCAGCTAGTCTTCCACTCAGATGGAAACTTTTAGTCAACTTTTGAAACCAATAATGAGAAAGACAGTATAAGTATATTATTTGAAAGTCAATCGAAGACAGTGCTGGTCCTGTCATCTGACAAGTGTATTTACATCTCACATTTATGGCATGAATCTTGGCATACATGGGTTAAGTACTCAATTAGGAACACGTGCATCACATATTCTTCTTCAATATTACAATACAAAAGAGGTTATAAACATATTGTAATTAAGTCATGAAATCATCATGAATGAAAAACATAAGAGGCAACGGAAACATGGTTCTTCCTTTGTTTGACATGACTTGATGCCATTCCTTAGATGCAATCTGCAGAACTTTCCTGATTTTGGACAAAGGCAAATATTTTCCTTTAAAAGACAAAAACCTTCTGAAGAATAGAAAGTTCTGAAAAAACCCCAGCTTAAATCACTCACATCTTCGCAAGAGTTGATAATTTTGTTCAAGACAACAAAGCAACTTTTCTTTACACTGACTGTTCAGTAAGAAGCTGAAAGCAAAATATTAAGGACAAGCAATGATGTGGGTACATTGAAAATAAAATGAGAGGATGAGGGGGAGGGGGAAGGGGGGGGGAGTGGGTATTGTGTCTCAATCAACACTGAGGCCTCATTCACTGTGGTTATGCCCAGAATGAAACTCTTCAAAGCCAGACCTGTTCTTAAATCTGAAATTAAACAACTTGAAACAGTATCAGTTTAGGCAGTGCACTGCCTTTAGAACTGAAAACCAAATGTCTGGCAAAATTATATTTCATCATAAATTGAAACAAAAAAATGTTTCAAGCTATAACTTCAGTTGATACTGTACTATTAACTATCTCAATAATGTTTGAATATTCACTGAATACATGAATACCAAGCTATGAGAGAAAGAAGAAAAAAATTTCACATAAATTAGATCTCTAAAAATGTTGATTTGACCCACATTCACATGAACTAGGATTCTCATTCAAATGGCAGTAAGAGATGGGAAAAGGCAGAAGACAGCAGAATTAAGTTTTTGAATCAATCAAAGCTAGCATTGTAAATTGCACTTTTGACACCGTAAAACATAATGAACAAGACACAGAAAACACTTAGTCCAAAACCATTTATAAACAGGAAAAGAACACCCCATGGAAGCAGTCACAGAGCTATGATGACAGCTTAGTATAAGACTCAGCCATAAGCCATTATGAAACGTGACGTATGGTGGAGTCTTACTCTGAGCAGTCAATATGAGCACAAGAAAAATGGTCTCATATTCTAAAAAAAAAAATCCTCCAAAACCTTCACCTCATGAAAAAAAAATGTCAGAAGTTAAAAATGACCAAAACTTTGACCTCTTTTTATTCAATCGTAATCTCTTCAAAACTCATGAACTTCGGTTGTTTAGGAAGTTTTCAAATCTCTTCATCTACTAGTCCAATCAGAGATGGCGCAAAATGTGGAGGTCCTGCCTCCTAAATGGTCTTACAGCATTAATATGGGCATAAAAACCATAGTATACACAATATTCACAGAATATGAATACATCAGGTGCTATCATTAGTTAGAAGTGTATAAGGGTTCCTTGTGCCGTGTATAAACTTGTGCGCATTTATTAAATGCATTAATGGGACAAGCATGCACATTACATCACTGCAAGAAAAAAATAAAAAAATCCAGGACTCGAAAAGTCCAGTGGTCTCAACAACGACGTTATGTACACTTGTAAGGTCTACCTTGGTGGGGATTTTTTTTAATCCTCTGAGAGGAACTTTATCTCTTTATCTTCTTCATAAACATGGATGCAGTAACCAAACAGTATGTCTTTCAAAATATCATGGACTATCTATAAAAGTTAGTCATTCCTGTAAAAAAGAAATGATCATTCCCAAAAGGCTGAATTAATGATAAAATCACTATAATCTGAGAGAAAGAAAGTGATCAAACTTTGAGAAAAGATGTTCGTTTTCTCTCTCTCCATCTCTGCGTTCATTGATCTTTCTTTTAGTCTCTCTCTATCTCTCTCTCTCTGAGTGTGACTATCTTTCTCTCTCTCTCTCTCTCTCTCTCTCTCTTCTCTCTCCTCTCTCTCTCTCTCTCTCTCTCTCTCTCTCTCTCTCTCTCTCTCTCTCTTTGTCTGGGTTATTTTCTCTTTCTCTGTTTTGGTACCTTTATCTATCATCTCTCTTTCTTACTCTATCTCTCTCTCTCACAGTCTCCCCCTTCCTCCTTCACCGTACCCTGACATTCATTTCCTTTCAATCAATCTCCTTATTTCCTTCATCTTTCCTTAACATACTCAAGCTACAAAAATATAAAGCATGAGTACACCTTTATATTAGCATTTTCTCCATTTTGCTTCACATCACACAAATACTGTTTTTTTAAAAACAGTTAATCACTTAAAGTATATTGTAGAACAGGTTTCAAAATTCCCTTTCACATAATCTTTCTTAACAAAGAGACAGACATGTCAATTCAATGGACAATTAGGAGGATAACTGCTAAAAATTTGACCAGAAATAATAGTATTCAAAACAGTTATAATGAAACATCTTTCCATGTCATTTTTCTTTACAAATACAGAAATAGAATGACCAAAACAACAAATCTAATGTAAATACCCAAATTCTGACAATTATGTGAAAAAAAAAGTTGTTATAACTAGATGTCCGTCAAATACAGGCACCTTAAGACTTGCCTTATTACTTGAGAACCACAAGCTCCATGTCAATTTTAGGAAGCAGAAAGACAAAAAGTGTCCCACTAACCAGAGACATGAAGACTATATAAAATGCAAAATTAAATGTTAAAAGTCGAAGTTTACAGTCTCGTTTTTAGCTTTTAATGAAAGACTCATATAACAGCTACCTTGGCAGATGAGCCCAATCCTGTCCAGGCTTGCCAACTTTTTCAAAGCCCAATCAGGGATACCCAACGTTACAGCAATAGATTACATAACAAAGAACAAAATTACACCATGTAGGACTGGTTTTTCAGCATTGCATGTGATAGGACTCTCATATCATGATGCATTCGGTACAGTTGGCAAGTTCACAGCTGATCATCTAACTCAGGGCAATATCCAGGGACAACTGATCAGGAATTATCTATTTGCAACCCAAATCAAAAGTTCAATAGAGAGGGTAGAGGGCTCAAGTGCACAAGTGCAAGGTACTCGCCTAACATGAAGCAGGTTTCTTGTTTCATGTCAGGTTTAAGAAAGCATAGTCACTATACGAACTGGCATTCTTAAATTCCAATTATTTATGCCTCTGATCCTAAGACAGGCAAGATCTAGCACCTAGTCTTGATAAACAATGACAAAACACAATCAAGTCCCATGGACATGTAGAGTTCACTGTCAGACTAAATCCTATATCAAAATATCAAATGTCAGGCCCAGCATAAATACTGAAGAGCAAGGTAAAAAATGACATGTTGATTCCTGAGGGCCACAGAACTTCGCACTTTGAATTTTAACATGAACCAGAGCAACTGCATGCGTATAGGGTTGTTTTGTACCTTTTTAACAGTCTCCCATGAATTGTCCTTGAGATGTAGCAGAGGAACAAGGAAAAAGATTAAATTTTCATAAAAATAAAAGGGACAAAGCTTTTTAAGGAGAAAGGAAATGTGAAGCCTTACCCTTTTTATGAGTTTCATTTAAAAAAAAAACTGATAAGGTTATTGCTCGTAAACTTTCATCCAATATTTTCATGATCAGAGCTGAATAAAGAAACTGTGAACCAGGGATTGATGAATCTTAGTATCTGTGCAGTGCATAACCCTGAAGTTAATCTGTTTCAGAGAGTGGTCATCATACATTTCATACCACAAGGAACAGGTCTGGTTCACCAGATTCCTTAGACAACATGAAAAAATCCAACTACTCCTGATGAGCTTACAAGCATGAAATAGGTGGCTTACATTATCCTATTAAAGGAATACATCAGAGGCACTTCATTAAATAACTTACTGCAATGCGTAAAAATAAAGTCTTGTAGCCAGTCATAATGAGGCGTATAAGTCACTTATAATGAACCTTAAGGACAGTCCTAGGAAAACAAGTTTTAAGCCAAAATAACATTTTGAATAGTGCAAAACTTTTCAACAACAGCTGCAAATGCCATTTTGGCTATAAATAGGCCAGCTGACCCCCAAAATATATTTTTAAATCCATACCAAACTTTTCCCTTCGAGCATCATTTATCAGTTCCATACATCTCATTTCAACAGACTGCAAGACAATTTATTTCTTTTTACAGATAATAAAGGGCCCATTGGATCCATTTAAAAAGAAAGAGTCCAGAAAAAAAATCAGTTCTAAAAATACATCAGAAATCGTTGAGGTCTCGAGCGAAAGGTGATGGGTTTTTATATCTTTGTTTCGGGTCTTGCAACGAACTATCTGAAGGGAGTTGAAATGTGGGAGGCTGTTTCCGGGAAGTCTGTTGGCCAAAGTTGTGTCCAGAACTTGACCAGTTGGTCCCAGAACCTAGGAAAGAATGGTTGGAAAAGCTGTGAAACCTGGAATTTAGTTTCAATTTTAGTAACAGTTTTATGGCACTTGCAAAACAATTACGTCATATAAGTGCCAAAAGTTAGAGATGTTACAAGAGAATAACGAACACACAAAAAGAAACAAAGACAAGGACCACAGATGTTTGATGAAAAGAAAGAACAAAAAACAACCACAGCACACGGCAACCACCCAAAACCTGCAATTTGTTGGAGAAACATCAGCAAAGCTCATTTTCAGTGATGAAAAGCACAACGCGCTCATATGACCTTAGCAGTTGCGAGCGCCGTAAAACCCTATACTACATACATGCGAAAAGCACAACAACACGATAACTGCTATTTATTGTGAGGAAAAAGCAAGACCGACAAACAGAAACAACAGAAGGTAAAGACAAAAGAAGCATCTTTTGACTATCTGCCAAAGTTCCGTTAGTGCTAAAAAAAAAATAAGACTCAAACAAGAAACTAAAAAAATAATTGGGTGGCTCTATCAGTATTGTATAAATTCACATTATCATTATTACTAAAAAGAAAGCATTACAGAAAAAGATTGTTTTAATTTTCCATGGGACCTCCTGATAGTACAACTATAGAGTTCCTATATAATTGCAAATAGTAACACCCCAAATAACACAATTTTGATCAATAACGGGGCAGGCTGCTTTGACCCAGTCTGCCAGTGCCAACCCTGGAATTGAGCTAGGTACAGTACACCATCAGAAAGACAGATACTCATCACAGTAGTCTCGCATAAGAAACAAAACTCGCGTCTTTTATGTGCAGTAGTGAAGATTTCAGCGATTACATTACAGACACAGGACAAGAACATCAATTTGGGCCAGCAAAAACACAATGAGAAAAGCGTCACTTTGTTTGACTAAACAAAATTTCTTCTCACCATCTATGGATGAACAAGCAGTGGCGCAAATTATGACGTAAAGAAATACAGTTTAAAAACATTTCATATCCTATCTGCAGCACTCTCACTGTCTTGAAAAGCACATAAACACTTTACCCCCTCCCCCCACCCCCCTCGAGACGCCAGCTAATGACGGTAAAAAGATGTTTCTTTCTCTCATGGAACACAGATCAGGCACAGTGTAATATAGCAACAAAAGTGAGGTAGGAATTATATCCTTTAAGATATGAGCACTTGCTTGAGTTGTGATTTCCTTCCTGAATAGTTTGTGTGGCCTTTGAGCACTGAAATCAATTTGTTTGCAACAACTGGAGGAAAATTCTTCTTTTTTTCTTTTTTTTCGATTCTGATTCCTATTTTTATGAACATGTGCGATCATCATGTCCAGTTTTCTCACTGTCCTAAAAATTTCAAAAAGATTCAAGTCTATTTTGCTGATATATGCCAATTTCATTTTAACTCTGCTTCGTGGTATGTTGGGGGGAATAGGGTTTTGCGCTCTGCGCCCTGTGTGGAGAAAAATTGTTAAAATGTTCTGGGCAGAATGGAGTAATCAGTAATTCTCACCTGTTGGAGCATTGCCATTGGTCAGTGTATCTCTCGGGCTTCCTGCTCTTCCTGTAAAGACATTTTTAAAATAAACATCAATTAAAAACAGATCACAGAGTTGTAAAATATTAGCATTTCTCGATAGTTCACTCTAAATTTTGCAGTCCAAAGACATAGTTTTTTCATAAGAAGTTACATACCTTACTTGAAATACACATGTCATTTTGAAAATGGATCCCACACTATTGGGTCTGCAGGGTCTATTGTACAACACCAGACAGTCAAATGACTCAACATCATGTATGAGAACTGGGAAAAAGATGGGGTGAGTACAAAGAAAAAACAACAACGTCTCGGCAAACGGATGGAGACACTCAGCGAAAGAATTTCTCAAGCACCAATAGGTTTTGTAAGTGAGAACGCGTGTGGGTCTGAGGTTTGTGTGCGTGTGTGTGTGCATGTCTGTGTGTGTATGTGTGTGTGCGTGTGTGTGTGTGTGTGTGTGTGTGAGTGCACATGGTGTGTGTGTATGTGTATGTGTGTGTGTGTGTGTGTGTGTGTGTGTGTGTGTGTGTTTATGTGCTTGCTGTTAAACAGTCTCACAGTGAATATCTTCTGTCTTTTGATTTGTCAGATGTGTTAAATGAAAGAGCGGCGGAGCTGGCCTACCATAGAAAACTGCATCTCCCCTCGACGCTTAACGGCAACAGAGGATGAAAAAGTAAAAAGTAAAAGTAAAGTAAGTTAAATGATAATTCAGCATTGTACTGCCCCTGGAGCCTTCTAGGGATTAGGCTCTATATAAATTCATATCGATATTATAATCAATATTCACACTTACAGTACCAAAGGCTCATATAGTGAAAAACCCTCAAGTACCACACAAATCTAGAACGCTGAAGCCATGATAGAATTTTTAAAAATATCTTTAAAACCTTCACAGCTCAAGAAACACACTTTAAAAAATTCACAGAATTCCATCAACCATTCAGCTATCACATTGAGTGAGTTCCTATGGAATTTACTTCTCTGCAGTAGCTCCGTTTGTTGTTTAAATATGTTTAGTGTGCCTGGTCGAGTTGGCGACTAAAGTCTCCAGCAATATAATGGACGCATACTACGGCCTGGCTACAAAAGTTGCCAACATGTAACAGTATATAAAAGTGTTAAAAAGGACTCAAACTCACATCTTATGCATGCACTGGAGAAGAACCTTAGTACTAAGTTTGTTAGTGTTTGAGTGCTTAACCGTCTGCTTGCACTGTATGCTTCCTGGGAAACTGAGAATGTTCTGAGTGTTCTATTGTATGCTGGGGTAAGAACATAGTGTAAAGCGCACAGAGCTTGCAGTGGAGCGGGGGTATGTGCTATACAAATGCTATTTATAATTTTTATTATTATTATTATTACTTCACCACAGTTACCATCCGTAATTAGCTGTGCACCTCATGACATGCTAAAAAACCTAATACCTACCACCTTTCATCCCTCCATGCCGGGAGTAGTAGATGGAACTAGTGGTCTTCCCGGTGGACTGAGACTTCATAGTGGACGGTTCGGACCTCACTGATTTGGAACCCGAGCCAAGGCCAACGTTCCTGATACTCCACACATTGTCCAGGTCTATGGGGGGCAGGCCTGAAGGCAAGAGGAAAAAAAAGTGACAGCTGCATCAAAATAAGGGAATGAAAATAGAACAGCCGTTCTTCTGTTCATTGGGCAATTTTCATCAACTTTTAGTTTTTTGGCTCAACACCTTTTATGTCTATTTAAAAACACATTTCTGTGAGGATGTCACTGAAAAGCATTATTCAAAGGCACAAAAATTGTAAATTTGCAGTTTCCAAGGACACCCAAGTTTTGAAACTCACGAAACTTTGGCAACTATTTTCTCCAAATTTCACCTCAGACCAGGCAACCCTCACATCCTTCAATCACAAATATCTCAACTTCAATTCAAGATAGATGGCTACCCCTTTCACCAAAAGCAAGATAAATGAACAAGCTTTAAAATGACACCAATAACTCCATATGCCTCAAAATGAACAAGCGCATGATTCCACCACGGCGTGACCGCATATAGCAGTGACAACACCACTCACCTCCTCTGGGAGTGACAGCATTACTGTTGGCCTTGGGGGTAAATGACCACTGGTCATCCTCCACTTGCTGGGCTTTGGAGCTCACAGGGTTGGAGTAGAGAAACTTCTTGCCCCCTCCTGTGGATTGTGGAGAACAGCATGAGCTGAGATAAATGCACATTTGTTTTGTTTGAGTAAATAGAAGCACACCAACACACCAATGATTATTTACTGCTGGAAAAAAGGAAAGACAGACAGACAGAAACAAGAGAGGAAAGTAAAAAAGTACTCATATAACCTACCAACCGTCATTCAGAGCTGGGAAAAACTAAAACAGACAAACAGAAACAACAGAGGGAAAGTAACAAAGTACTTGTATAACCTACCAGTGGTGCCCTCTAACCACCCGTACGACACAACCAGGGTCCCTTAATAATTCATGGGAAAAGTAAGAGGGAAACAACAGAAGTAGGTCCGACCAGTGTAATCATCCAACACCCACACTGGATGCTGAATGCTTATTTCGGGGAGATTAAAGGTAAATCATTAAGGCGGTTGTGTCAATATTAATGTTGCTATCATGGGAACAATGAATAACTATGTTTTTCTTTGGGGGAGGGGGGGGAGTTGGTTTTTTTTTTTTTTTTTTTTTTTTTTGGGGGGGGGGGGGGGCTTTTTTGTAGTGAATTTTTTGTGGGGGCAATGATTAGAGTCAGAGTCCCATGGTAAAAGAAGTACAATCAAACCTGCTCTAGCGACCACTAGTCCAAAACAACCGAAAGCACAAACAATCACTTCCATTTTGTTAATTTTTAATATGACCCTGTCCAAAAAGACCACCTGTGTAAGTATACTCCTTTCCACCTGGGCAATTGGGTGATTGTTTTGGACAAGTTCGACTGCATGAGTAAAATCCTAGTAAAAATTTGTTGGTGCAAGACTCATAAATCTAAAAGTACAAATGAAACGAAAGACAGAGGAGAATGAGGCAAAAGCAACGCCTAGGAAGGGATGGCTGTTGCCTCTATAAAAGAAGAATGAAGGTTTCAGTTTTGGTGAAAGCTTTCGCATGTTTGTTTGAGTAAAGAGCTAGAGAAACGTATCAACGCAACAACAGTTATTTTGTGTAGAGTAAAAGCAAGACAAACACAGCCGGGAACAATAGAGGGATAGAGATAAAAAACAAGAGTAGCCATCCACGCAGGAATCTGAATGTTTAATTAAAAAACAAAACAAACGGGAAATGGCTGTGGTAGTCGTGACAATAGTAATGTTGCTATTCTGGGACAATTGATAACTGTCCCCAGAATAACAACATCATTATTTATACTAGCGATGGAGTGTGTCGTTTGTTTGTTAAGTTATTTTTATTTTTTTTTTAACTTGGGGGTGAGGGGGGGGGGGTGGGGGGGCCCTGAATTTTTAAAATGGTGTTAAAAAAAAATTTTGGGTTTTTTATTTTTGGGGGGGGTCTTTTTTAGTTGTGTGAGTGGTGAAGAGCAGGGAGGGAGGGAGCTGGTATGATTACAGCTACAGTACTGAAGTGCGCGCGCGCACGCACACACACACACACACACACACACACACACACACACACACACACACACACACCACACACACACACACACACACACACACACACACACTGATGTATGAGCTGAAACAACAGAAGGAATGAGCGGGTGGTTGGAGGACGGACGCCACTGGTAAATCCTACTTCTTTTCTTTCCCTTTGTTATTTCTGTCTAAAAAGAAATGATAACCTCTAGACTTTACAGTAGCACTACCCAGCAACCCCAAAGAAACAAAATCAAGCAAACAGTAAAAAAAAAAATCACTAAGACAGAACATTCCCTCCGGATACAAATATTAGTTTGTTTTGTTTCGTTTTTTTGTCATTTTGTTTTGGGTTTTTTATGTAGGAATTCTTACACCCACATCGACACAATAAAGATCATTTAGGAGGTGGGCTTCCGGCCCTGCCTGCCACAGCCAAACCGGGCAGAGAGGGTTACAACTTAGATCCCAGGAGAAAGACGAAGATACTCGATAAAATATGTTCTCCCCTCCCGGGGATCGAACTCGGGTCTCCTACGTGCGACAGCAAACCCCCTACCCGCCACCTCACAGACGCCAGCGTATGTATTTGTTTTTTTGTGTGTTTTTTGTAGAGGGTTTTACGGCACTCGCAACTGCATAACTTAATAAGGTCATATGAGCGCCAAGGGGCGGGGGTCAACAGAGAAGTCTTTACAGGGAATCAGACTTAGACTGCTCACCTCTCTAGCCTCAACAGCACGAAGTCTGCTTCGACTATCAAGGCACCCAAAAATAGCAGGTCACAAGAGAGTGACAAACATACAAAAGAAGTGGAGGAAAATGACTACAGTAAGGATCAGGAAAGAAAAAGCAGCAGTTCCCTGTTGTAGATCAGGCACAGTTATGAGCAATACATGAGTCAGCCCATTTACAATTCTACTAGGCTTGAACGAGAAAAATGTCCTCCCCCCCCCCTTTGGGAATGGCCTAAAGACACTTCAGTCCGTGGCACTGCCCCGGGGGGATATTAGTTTTCGAAACAATGAATACATGAAGCAAATCAAGTTCAACCATCGAGGAAAACAACGAGAGCGCACATAGCAGAGACAGAGCACAACCGTATTTGTTTAACTAAATGCGTAAATCAATACTCTGAGCCTCACAAGGTGCGAGAGACAAACTAGACTGACAAGAGATAAAATAAATGCCAATCTCTTCTTATCAGGGTTCATGCAACTACACATGTTTTTAGAAAATCCACAACAACAAAAACAGTTCAAATGTTAATGTTTATTTTGCCAAGAAATAAAAGCATAACAATAAACGTTTGACTGAGTAAAGAGAAGCACATCGACATAACAATGGTCATTCAGTGCTAGGGAAAAGTAAGACACAGTACAGAAACAACAGAGGGAAAGTAAAGAAGTAGGACCTACCAGTGCCCCCCCCCCCCAAAAAAAAAATCACAAAAAAACAACCCGCAAATTTATACGCGTCCGATCTACCTGCCCAAGAACATATTTAGAAACGCAAAGACCAACTCACAAAACATACCACTGGCATCTGTGGTTAGGCACTTCGCTGTCGCACGCAGAAGACGTGAGTTCGATTCCCGTGTGGGGAGGATTATTTTCATCAAAGAGTCTACATAACAAGAGGGGCAACTCCTCTCTTTGAGCCAAGTAAAAAAATGTCGGTGGCGTCCTCTTCACAAATGCGCACCCTTTGCGAACAGTTACCCTACTTGTGTTTTAAAAAATCAAAGTGAAACTAACAAGTTTTTGAATAAATATGAATTTAAATTTCGGAAGAACGCTTTTTTAAAATGGTTACGCTGACAAAAAACCTCTTCCGGAGGAAGGGGTGACTGTTTTCTTCGCTTAATTTGACTTTAAAATGAAAGGCGAGAGGTCATTAAAATTTTCAAAAAAAACTAAAACTCCGCACTGAACGAACCCGAACTGCTGATGAACAGCAGTCGATCTGCGCACGCAAGGGGGTGCTATTCCTATTCTTCTTCTGGAGAAATGAAAGAGAGCTTCAAAACAGACTGCAGCGCCATCTGAAGCAAAGAGCGAACTTCTGGCGGACACTTTTTTGGCTGAGTGGCCCATCTTGTTATGTACTATCTTTGTTTTCATTGAGTATAGCCACCTGGCTGCTGGGACATTGCATCTCTCTCAGACGGGGTAGGCCCTGACAAGCAGGGTTGGAGCAGATAGCCAGACTGGCAGGCATGCAGGAGGAGGACTTCCGACCCTACCTGTCAAGGCCAACTCGGGCTGAGAGGGAAACAACATCCCGGCAGATAGACCGTAATACGCGATAAAAATCTCTCCCTGCTTTGGAATCGAATTCGGATCTCGTATGTGCAACAGCAAAGCGCCTTACCGCTACACCACAGACGTATGTTTACAGTGTTCACAGGATCGTTAAACCTTTTCCATACAATCGGAAGCCATGGTATAGGTTTAGCGTCCCTGTCAACCTTATTAGGTCATTTAGAAGGCAGGACCTCTGAGTTCAACGTCCATCTCCAAAAAGGACCGAGCCAGATAGGAAATTCGTGTAAAGTTTCTTTCCCAAGGACATAACGTCAGACCGAGCTAAGGCTCGAACCCCTGAACCCGCAATCTTACGATTGCCTAACCACTGGGCTACCGACGCCACAAGCTTTCAGCGTTAGAGTGTACTCGTGGCGTTATAATCGATTCCCTAAGTTAAACATGTGTGCAGTACAACGCGAGCCGATCACTGTCTTGAACTATCTCCGGTATCCGAGAAAGATGTTTAAAAACCTTCCCCCAGAGATAGCGCTTAGAGACCCTTAAAACTTCAATTTCATTCTGTATTAGCCACCCGTTTTCGCGACTGGAATTCAGGAATTCCAACATGTCACCACCCCCTCCCCCCACACAACAAAATTTAGGTAGTACGAGGTAGCACGAAGCTAGCTGCGGGCCAACATTGTAAGGCAAACTTGTCAATAACAATTATTAGTTGCTGGCGACCTCTCAAGAGCTCACGGCCGCGGGCACGTAATGACATTGATTTCCACAACAATCCTCTCATTACTTTTTATTAAGTAATGCCTGCTCAGAGAATGTGGAAAAGTTCGTGCAATGATAATCTGCTGTAATATTAGAAGCATCAGGAAAATTCGAAGCCTGAGCTCACATCGCTAGAACGAACCAATAAGTTATGAATACCTAGCTGGGCTTTGAGGTGGTGGGAGGGATATCTATAACCAATTCGAGGGGTGGGGGAGTAGAAGTGAATTTGTATAATGATCTGTTCTTTGTGCAATGTGGCCGACTTGCTGAAATCTACGTCAAAATAAAAACGACTACACCAACCACAAAATCCGCAGCCTAGCACAGATCTACACACTACACACATATTCTTTGTTCTACATGCCCAGAATCCTATCAAAAACGGCTCTAAATCTTATACGATACAATTTAGGTCGCATATAAGTCGAGGTGTCTCGACCCAGCCCGTCAGGGGATTCCTGGCTGAGAGAGGAGCTATCCCAAAAGAAAGATGGAGAATACTCCATACAATAATGTCAATTATACATGTACATCTCCAAGCGGGAA